CCTAGGCATAAAATGAGAATAACAATTCCTATCTCATTATGTTGTACAGAAAATCAGATAAGGTAATGCATGCCAAGGACAGTGCTTGGCGTCTACTAAGCTCTTGTAAGCACTAGCTGTTATTTTAATATGCTTCTCAGCACTGATCATAGTGCTGGCACTGAACACCAAGAAAGGCTCAATAAATTTTCTGCATCAGCAGATGTTTACTCATTGTCTGTCCTGCTTTCCGCCCTGAGCTAGATGTCCCAGAAGTAAAGCTGCTTAAGGCACAATCTCTATCTTGTGAATTATGTCTTAATTCTTACTTGTGTCTCCAGCATTCGGCCCAATTCCTGGCACATAAGTGACACCCAAAAAGTGCTGGTGGAAGTGAACTTAAAATCTAGTTGTCTAAATGTGTTTACATGAGTTTGAAGGGGAGAAAAAATATATATAACCATAAAAAGAAAATAAAGTATGTGACAGAAACTTTTTTTTTTTTTTTGAGACAGAGTTTCGCTCCTGTTACCCAGGCTGGAGTGCAATGGCGCAATCTCGGCTCACCACAACCTCCGCCTCCTGAGTTCAGGCAATTCTCCTGCCTCAGCCTCCTGAGTAGCTGGGATTACAGGCACGCGCCACCATGCCCAGCTAATTTTTTGTATTTTTAGTAGAGACGGGGTTTCACCATGTTGACCAGGAAGGTCTCGATCTCTTGCCAAAAGGAAATCCTGGTTCTTCTGCCCATAGATTTCCACTCCAGGAGGAAGGAGGGTCTGAATGGTGTGTGAAAAGTCGGTATTTGTGACACAAAGGCTCCCAAATTCCAAGTTACTTCCCTTTAAGAGTGATGAAGGAAGAAAAAAAAAGCAATCGAGCCAGTCCCCCGAGGCACAGAATACACATGACCTCAGTTTGGGAATCCCTAGCTAAAGTCAGCTTTTAATTTACAAACATAAAAATATAAAGTTTGGGGCCGGGCGTGGTGGCTCTCGCCTATAATCCCAGCACTTTGGGAGGCCGAGGCGGGTGGATCACGAGGTCAAGAGATCAAGACCATCCTGGTCAGCGAGGTGAAACCCCATCTCTACTAAAAATACAAAAATTAGCTGGGCATGGTGGTGCGTGCCTGTAATCCCAGCTACTCGGGAGGCTGAGGCAGGAGAATTGCTTGAACCCAGAAGGCGGAGGTTGCGGTGAGCTGAGATCGTGCCATTGCACTCCAGTCTGGGTAACAACAGCAAAACCCCGTCTCAAAAAAAAAAAAAAAAAAAATATATATATATATATATATAAAGTTTGTAAGTACCTTGTTTTGATTTTTCTGGAAAAAATAGATATCAGATCCCATCATTACCACTACTAAAAAGACTCAGGGATAAGTACTAAAGTGAAAATAAAGTCACCTAAAACACTCTCATGGTGACTTCCACAGACACCAATTATGCAGGCTCAGCTGTGAAGGTTTATCAGAAGTCAGGCCAATACTGGAAAACACGACCACTTGGATAAAAGAAAAAAGACACTTAAGCATAAATGGCTCCTAAAATCAAAAAGCTAATTAAATGTGGTCTCTTCAAAAAGAAAAAGTAAAGTCAGAAAAGGCAAAAGCTAGCAGGAAAAATATATTCTTAATTCTGAGCATTATAAAAGAGAATAAAAAGGGATCACTTTAAGAAGTTGAAGTCACCTGATTATTTCCAGATAATATTCATCAGAAACCAACTGTGAACCTCCCTGTGCATTTGACTTCCTTTCTACTCATTCCCAAACAAATAGACTGAACACTGTCCAAGGTACTACAGTTTGGGAGGAAGGAATAAGGATTAAGATGAATAAAACCACCTCTCTGTCATCAAGGAAAATAGAATCAACTGTGGAATCATTCCAGAAATTTAGGGGAGTATATATCCCCCTATAACCCCTTTCCCTGAGAAGTGGCCCCCAACCCTGGTCCATGTGGTCATGGCACAGGATGAGCCATAACTGGACAACCTGACTTCTACCTTCCTGGTGGTGCCTGACCTATGAGAGGCCAACAAGAGTCCCTCCCAAAGAATTAATAAAGAAAACAAATAAGCCATTTTATTATTAGTGAGAATTCTATTAATATATAATATGTACACTTGACAGTGGAGGCCCATGTCCCATTATATAGCCTGGGGAGCAGAGAAAATCAGACTACACAGAAAGAGTGGAATAAAACAGGCACATAGTCTTACAGACAAGAGCTAAAGAAGGAATACTACTTGGGTTCCTAGCAGTGTTCAGCTCCCAGTGGAGACCTTTCTGAAGCCTGCCAGCCTCACCACCCTTCTACCCTTAAAATGAGCTAGGCTGAAGTGGTTTCTGTTACTCGTAACCAAATAGTCCTAATAAATCCAAAAGGAGTAAGACCACGACACAAATTCATCTAATGAACAAATGTATTACTGAAATTAGTGATGCTAGGTAGGCAAGGATTTCACTTCATTCATCTGAGCACTGCACAATAAAGTGGCAAGAGGAAACTCTTAATGAAAAAAAGATGGGGATTTGAGTTCAGACTCCACCCTTTGCTAGTTCTGTGGCCTTGAAGAAACACATTTAGCCTTGGGAGGTCAAAGTGGGTGGATCACCTGAGGTCAGGAATTCAAGACCAGCCTGACCAACATGGAAAAACCCCATCTCTACTAAAAACACAAAATTAGCCAGGCATGGTGGTGAAAGCCTGTAATCCCAGCTATTAGAGAGGCTGAAGCAGGAGAATTGCTTGAACCCGGGAGGCGGAGGTTGCTGTGAGCCAAAATCATGTCATTGTACTCCAGCCTGGACAACTAGAGCGAAATTCCATCTCAAAAAAAAAAAAAAAGAAACACATTTAGTCTACACTTATCACAGTGCCTAGTGCAAAGCAGGTGCTCAATATATATTTGTAAAAAAAAAAAGGAAGGAAGGAGGAAAAGCAGTTACCACATATCAGGTATACTTATCTTTTAAGTCAAGTCATTTCTCATTAATAAAATGGGAAGTCTCATTCTCGTTAATAAAGTGGGAATAAAAATTTCACTTTATGCATCTCACAGGATCAGAATGTACATAACCTGTGCTATTAAAAGTCATTATTAGAGGCCAGGTACAGTGGCTCACACCTCTAATTCTAGCACTTTGGAAGGCCAAGCAGGGCAGATCACCTGACATGAGGAGTTCAAAATTAGCCTGCCCAACATGGTGAAACCCTATCTCTACTAAAAATACAAAAATTAGCCAGTCTCCCAGTGGTGCACACCTGGGAGACTGAGGCAGGAGAATCACTGGAACCCAGGAGGCAGAGGCTGTCGTAAGCTGAGACTGCACCACTGCACTCCAGTCTGGGTGACAGAGCAAGACTCTTTCTCAAAAAAAAAAAAAAAGTCATTATTAGATTCATCAGATTAATCAATGAGTCAAACACAGACCCACTTCCATTAATGAAACAATTTTATCTGAAGTAGGGGTTAGCAAACTATACCCTACAAACCAAATCCAGCCCACCACCTGTTTTTATATGACCTACAAGAATGGTTTTTATAAATGAAGATTTGCAATCAATTTGATGATAGGGAACACTAACTTTGAATCCTACTTCAGCTAAATGTTATACCTCTCCCCAAAAAAAATCCCATACTTCTAGTTAATATACCTATATTGCAAAAAATTATATTCAATTTATTACTATTATCATACAGAGTTTAAAGGATGCACAAGAAGTAAACTCAGTAAGAAACATGGCAATAAAATTACTTTTCTCATCAGTTCCACCATTTTTAGAGTGCAATACTGTAGAACATGGGAGTTTTTACAAATGCATAAATTGCAATATAACAGAAAAATCTGCAATAATATCTGAGTGAGTGAAGGTGACATCAGATCTTCTGGAAATTCAACTACTCCCTTCAAGTCCATGTTTAAAGAGGCTGGATCAGTCTGAATATGTGCCAGGAACCACCTCAACTGGAGCAAAAACATGTCCTCAATCTCGACAGTATGTCTATGGTATACAAACAGTACTGAATATTTATTCACTGCCCTCAGCCTCCCGGATGAATGCCTCCTAGTACAGGTTCATCCTTAAACCTAGACTTGCAAAAACAAAAACAAGGGTCCATTACCCAGAAGTCTCTGAGAGTCATAACAATAGCTCTTTAGACCAGTGGTTAACTCTATCCCACAAAACAAAATGAGGTAACTTATACCAAAGTCCTGAGTAAAATCTGGAAATAAGTGAGTATAATTATCATCACAATAAATAACAATAATAAAACACTTTGGAGCAACCACTCTATACTCAGCACTGCAATAAGCACATAAAGATGCATAAGAAATGGGTTTTGCAATAAAGATGTTTGTAAAATAATGCTATTAAGGCAAGAAAATAGAAGATATAAATACCATAGAAGACAGATTAAAATGGAACAGCTCTACTTAAAATAGGGTGCACGGGACCTTAGAACACCAATGTGACTTCTGAATCACTTTGATGGAAGCCTAAGCTCCCTTGAAAATAGAGTTTGAATACTACAAGAATGGACAATTGGGGGTCTCTGTATTTTCCTCATTTATAATATTAGGCCAACAGTAATGGCTCCTTCAAAGGTTTGTGAGGATTAAATGAGATAATAAATACAAATTCTTTTAGCAGTCAGTAGTGCATAGTAAGTGCCCAATAAATATTAACTATCATTATCTTTTTTTATTAAATAGTTGTCACCATACTATACATTATTATTCATTCTTATTTCTTTTAATTAGATTGTAAGTATGCTCCAAATTTTCACATACTCTTCATTAGCATATTTTCAATTTAATGAGCCATAAATTACACTTTAGTTTTACTTTGATTTGGATTTATGTAATAATTTTGAGGGTAATTATCTTTGCATATATTTATTAACTATGTGTTTCTCGTTATGTCTGTTTATGAGTCTCATTCAATAACCCTATTGGAACTCTTATTGTTTTTTAAAATTAATATTGGTTCAAAGCAGAAATAAGGTTACCTTCTGGGCTCCCTGTCTTAAGAATGTGCTGGCAAAAGTTTCTAGAATGCAGTTGAGAAATCCAGCTCCTGTGATTGAAATTCTGCCTCTTTGAATGAACTCTGTCCTGCAAAGAAAAAAAAACCAAAAATCAAAAAACACATCTTTGATGTCATTCTATGGCTGGATACGTAAACTACACACATTTCTAGCTGCATAATTACCACTTATATTCAATACAAAATCATATCCATTATTATTCAATAACTGCCTGTTATAAGAAGTTTTGTTAAAAGTAATTTATAGCTTATATAATATTCACAAGTCTTATTCAAATTAAAGAATATTCATTTCACGCTGCAAAATCTCTTTTTAAAATTGAGTCTGAGGTAATTATCAATGATATGACCTTAGGAAAATTATTTAGACTCTCTCTAAGTTGGTTTCCTCACATGTAAAATGGGAACAACCATAGTATCTTTCTTTTACAACTACTGTTGCAAGTAAATGAGTTGTCACACATCACAGGAATATGAAGAGTTCCTGACATGTAAGTATTCATTAAATGTTAGCTACTATTACTAAAGAAAGTCAGATAGAGACAAGACTGGACCAGAAACCTGGAATGACTTTTGCATTCCTCGACTGGAGAAGGGGGTAAGACAGAAGAGTTATGTCACCATCTCTACCAATTTTAATTACCAAAATTATATCAATATTAATTATCTTCATTTTGTAAAACAGAGATCTACATTACACTTAAAAGTGATATAAGGTAAGTAAGATGACTGAATAGAAAGTCCCAAGCCCTCGTTACCACCAGAGACAACAACTTATGAACAATATATAAACCAAATTGCCTTTGTGAGAACTCCCTGGAGAAGCAGCACCACCCCAGGTGAGTGGAAAGCCAAGAAGAGCCACATCAAAGCAGATAAGAAAGTTTGTTGCTTTTACCCATAATAGCTGCCTCCCACCCAGCATCATGTAACCCAATCAGGAAAAAACTCCCAACTTCTGGCTTCTTCCTCAGGAGGGACAGAAAAGTGCTAACCGTGCATCCAACATTCTGTCTTTGAGAGAGGCATGACTCAGAGTGCTAAAGGAAATGGCAATATACTCTCAAAAGCAAGAATGGTGGCTTTTTACACTAAAGAGCATGAAAGTACCTCAGACAGCCACAAGGGTTACAAGATCATGGGCTCTTAAAAACAGAGGCAGTCCTCTGTAACTGGGAAATTACACACAAGCCCAGAGAAGATGCATCCCCAAAAAGGTTTGAGAGGCCCCCAGAATCTCAAGCTAGGCTGCTCAGTGAAGGTCTTCCCTGTATGAAGCCATTCCATAAGACTATGAGAAGTGGTTGTTTTTTATGTACCCAAACCTCAACAAAAGATCACAATGCATGCAAAGGAACAAGGAAACATGGCCAAATCTGAGAAACAAATCTCTAGAAACCAATCCTAAAGAAACAGAGATTTATGAATTACCTCACAAAGAACTTGAAATAACCATATTAAAATGCTCCGTGAACTAAAACAGACAACTAAAGGAACCAACAAAAATAAAATGCAGGAACAAAATGAAACTATCAACAAAGAGAAACTATAAAAATGAGAACCAAGCAGAAATTCCAGAGTTAAAAAATACAAAAATGGAACTGAAAAACAATTCACTAGAGGGGTTCATTCAACAGCAGACTCAATCAAACAAAGGAAAGAATCAGCAAACTTAAAGACAGGTTATTTGAAATTATTGAGTCAGGGACCAAAAAAAAAGAATAGTCAAGAGAGCCTAAGAGACTTACAAGACATCATCAAACAGATCACTATCCACATTATGGGAATCTCAAATCAAGAAGAGAGTGAGAAAGAAGTAGAGTGTCTATTTGAAGAAATAATGGCTGAAAATTCCCCAAATTTGAGGGAGAAAACTGGCATACAAATTGAAAAAGCTCAATGAACTTCAACTAGGATAAATTCAAAAAGACTCACACCAAGACACATAATCACACTGTCAAAAGTCACAGAAAAAAAGGGAGAATCTTGTAAGCAGTAAGAGTAAACCAACTCATCACATTAAGCTCCTATAAGATTTTCAGTAGATTCCTTGGCAGAAACCATACAGGCCAGAAGTAAACGCAATGACATTCATTCAAAATACCAAATACTAAAATTCAAAATACTAAAATTAAAAAAAAACCCTACAACATAAAAATACTATATCCAGCAAAACTATCCTTCAAAATGAAAGAGAAATTAAGACTTTCCTAAATAAACAAAAGCTAAGGGAGTTTATCACCACTAGAGATTTGGATTACACTTAACTTTGCCTCATTCATTCATTTGTTCAACACACTGACTGCATGGCTACTATATGCTAAGCACCATACTGACTGCTAGAGGTCCACAGAGAAGGAGATGGGTCTCTCTCCTCCAGGATCTCATTGGCTAGTGGAAAAGACAAACAGATAAGTGGGAGAGTGTCAGAAACTGGAGGTGAAGCCTTCCATTAGAGGAAAACTACAAGAACCCAGGTAAGGAGGCGTGAAGGAAGAAAGGATGTCTGAGGAGCCACAAGTTATCTAAAAATGCCCAGTACATGGTATGGGGTTTGATAAATTCTTCCTATAGAAATGACAGGAGCATAAGATGGATGTGGGAGATGTTAGGATATGAGGCGGAAAGGATACGTGAAGACAAGACTGCAAATGGTCTCAGGCTGAGGAGTTTAGGCTTTGCCCTGAAGGTAAAGGAGGCTTCTCTTCTGAGGACACCAAGTACCAGGTATACATTAATAAATAGTCACATCTGCACCACTGACTAAAATGCTCATTGCCATTCCTTGATGCTTTTAGACAATCTCCTATTCCCCATTTTCAGTGCAGTGCTTACACTGAATGAGTTCAATAAGCACTTGTTAGATGAATTAATTTAATTTCTTTGTAATCAAAAATATTCAACAAAGAAAACATTTTCCCAACCTTACATCTCTGTGGAAAGGAAATGAGAGCCAAGTCTCCCGTATATATAGTTGGCATGTGTTTATATGCATGATACGTGAGAACATGCACTGAAACAAAAAAAAAAAAAATCTGAGAAAACACTGGATCCAACAAACTGTCATTTCAGTCAAAATGGTTTTTAAAACCTCTTAATCAGACCTCACCAATAGCAGCAGCCTCTATATTTAGATCATGCATACAATAAAAGCCTTCAGAGCTCCCCTCTCTCCCTCTCTTTCCTCCCCCTCTTATACACACACACACACACACACACACACACACACACACACAGAGGAGTTATCCCATCCAATCTGACATAAATACCTTCAGTCTAAGCAGTTTTCACCTCTTAGATTAAAGCCTATTTAAAATGATTTGCTCATGTAAAGCTATATACTGGTGACACTAATCTTTCCCGTCTTCATTCTGGATTAGTCAGAATAGAATTTTACAGTGATTTTAATATTGAGAAATGAAAAGTTGAGCAGTCTCACACTCTTGGGAGAGATGAACTCTCCAGACCTCAGTCCTGAAGGCAAGTGTAGGTGAGGGATTAATAAAAGTCTCTTACATCATATTCTAACCAATATTTCTTTCTGCCACTTTTGGGAGAAGTAAGTTCTCAAAAAAGCACTCTCAGGTTTTGTCCACATATCAGAGAATAACAGGGCAGTAAAGCAGGGTCATGCCCTTGCCATCAATGAGATGAGAGTTTATCCTATTATATTTTAAGACTGCCAGAGAAGAAAATATTGCACTTTCCCTCAATAAGTCATTGATAAAGCACATCAGACACTTTCTTCTTACTACAAATAGCTAACCTAAATCCCTCACACTAGAATTCATCTCCATTTAGGTTCTGTGCAAAACACAGCAGTTTACACAACAACATATGGTTTAACTTCAGCTTCATTAAAAAAAAGAAAAGATGGGTGGATGGATGGACGGATGAATGAACAGATGAGTAAGTGAACAGAGCTAAAATGTTAACAATAGGGCATTAGAGTTATACGTTATTTTTTTGCCTTGTTCTTTTTACTGGTTTAGAAATTTCCTATTAAAAAATATGTATTCCTTTGGCAATCACCAAAAAAGTCTATTGAATAACAAGGCCCTGAGTATCACTTTTATATAAATAGATAAAGCATTTTATAAATGGCTCTGTGCCTTTTAAACCATTTTCAGCAATGATACGTGCTAACTTCTGGCTTGCCCTTCATTTAAAGTCTCATTAAATCACTTCTTGGCTTTTCTTTCCCCATATTATGTAATCTCACTTCTTTGTAGCTTATGTCCTAAGACTTTCTCCCCATCCTGTACTTGAAGTACATAGTGTCTCATCATCCTCAAGACATATAAGGATGATTCAAGTTTTCTTTCACCTGTCTTTCATCTCTGAATGAGTTCAATAAGCATTTGTTAGAAGCCTACAGAGAAGACTTCTTCACATTCATGATATTACAAATTCAGGGTCATACTTATTCCTCAAAAACTGGTATCGTAACAGTGTATATTCTAGATCAGACACTGTTCTATCTTCTGAGGTTGCTATGCTTTGAAAATTATTTTCTTGGCCGGGCGCGGTGGCTCAAGCCTGTAATCCCAGCACTTTGGGAGGCCGAGGTGGGTGGATCACGAGGTCATGAGATCGAGACCATCCCGGTCAAAATGGTGAAACCCCATCTCTACTAAAGATACAAAAAATTAGCTGGGCATGGTGGCACGTGCCTGTAATCCCAGCTACTTGGGAGGCTGAGGCAGAATTGCCTGAACCCAGGAGGCGGAGGTTGTGGTGAGCCAAGATTGCACCATTGCACTCCAGCCTGGGTAACATGAGTGAAACTCTGTCTCAAAAAAAAAAAAAAAAAAAAAGAAAATTATTTTCTTTTTTATACGTGAAGAAACTGTGGTAAAGAGATGTTCAATATCTTGCCCGAGGTCATATAGCTTAACGCCATGAGGATTCATTACCTATCACCTCAAAATCCTAGTCTTCCTCTGCTCTCAGTCTATAACACAACTGTCCTTCTAGTCCATGACATTAGAAATCTTAGCAACAAGTTAGATGATCCCCTCTCTATCAATCCAAACATGTAATAAGTCATCTGATTGTGCTTATTTCA